GGTGATGAAGGTCGAAAGGACCAAAGTAAGCTATGGAGGTTGGAAAGACCGTTGTCAGCAGGAGACTGGGGTCAGAAAGACCATTGTAGAAGGGTGGTACTTCGGGAGAATTCTCAGCGTAAAGTGGTGGCCCGGCAGAAGTTCGAGCCTCCTAAGCCAAAGAATTTTTTTTTTTTAATACCAAATGTTAGCTATTTTCAGATTCTGAAATAATATTAAAAATATAAGCTCAGTAATTTACTCAAATAAGGAATATAATAAATCAGATATTTAATTAAAATTTTCTCAAATAATTTTACAAGAACTTATCATGAACTGCTTATCAATTATCAAGAATATCAAAATGATATATATTTAGATCAAATTTTAGTTTGTAAATTGTAACTTCAAAATTAATAGTTATTCTTAAATTATATTGTAAAGGAAAAAAAAATTAACTCATAATATTCTGATCAAAATTTTGATTGAGCTTTAAGTCGTTGGATTTTTTTAAGATGAGTGTAAAATATATAAATATTAATTGATTCTTGGTGTATTATATTTATTTATCTGAAAGATAGATCAATGTCTTAGACTTATTTTGATTAAAAATATTCAATTAAAATTTTTATTTCAATTAACATGATTTTATTGTACTTTAAAGGTTGATGAAATAATATTAATAGGCATATTAAATCAACTTGATATATATATAACAGAATTCTCATACTTTTGAGAAGAATGTGCATATTGGTACAGATGAAATTAGAAGTGGCTAACAAAATTACAAAAGGTAAAATACCATGCAGTGATGGAACTGGTGGAGCCATTAGTAATGTCGTTAGCGTTGGATGCAGGAATAAAAACCATGGTTTTTATAGAATTTTGACTATTTAAATTCATCATAATAATATGCATAGTATTCCATGTAATTATGAGAGTAATTTCTTCACAAGTTGTGTTCCAATCGAGTAGAAAGTTTGAACGACCAAGCAATTAAAGACTGAAAAGCATAGCCCGTAGCCTATTGGGCTTTTGCTAATGTAATGAGCTCAATAAGATTTCTTTTGCTTTCTTGAGGCCGCACATGAAATAATTTTTTTTTTTTTAGATGTAAGGGGCTGAATAAGAAAATTTATCATGATGAAGTCATGATATGATCTTGATCTAAATTTTTCTCATCTTGTTTTTTGCATGTAAGGGTTAATTGTTGTGTCCTGGAGTATTCACGGCGATAGAGAAATATATAATTTAACGTCTTAACATTGTACGAAAATTCGGCACGCAATCAGATAAGAGAGAGTGTGTAACATTTATGAGACACCAATATTTTTACGTGGAAAACCCTTGAAAATGGGGAAAAACCACAGGGTCTAGCCCAGTTTGAATGAATCCACTAGTATTGTAGTTGATTACAAATGAGGCCCTTTCTTGGGGGAAGGCCTTAACTTGACATCTTATGGAGTACATTACATTGTAGAAATGCAAAGAATCACTATTGACGAGTTTGTTTGGTTGGACGGATTGTAGTCAGTGGACGACTATAGTCAGAAGGACCATAGTCTGCGGGCGACGGAGGTCAGAAAGACTGTAGTCAATGTGCGAAGTAGGTCGGAAGGACCGTAGTCGGCGGGTGAAGGAGGCCGGAAGGATCGTTGTCTAATGATGTCAAAATTCAGCCATCTTGGGCTCGTTGGATTCGTTTCATTGAGCCGCTCGATTCGACTATAAGCTCATCATGTTTGAAAACCATTTGGTAACTCAAATTGTCGTTCAAACCTTCCAACAGCGCTACAGGTCCTTGATTTGGACTCATTTGGGCTCGGATTGAGTTGAATTTGGTGTCGTTGGGTTTGTATTTCCGAGATGATCAGTTCGACTGTAAGTTTGCTGAAATCAGAGTTCAAATGATTCCGGATTTAATTTTTGAAGTTTCCAACTAGATTTTTGCCTCGAGATTCGTGCTCGATCAATATAATTTTTTGATGATATATCAGTTGCCCTCCTATTTTCGGACGTCAAAGTTCCAGGAGTCCGAAAATATATGTAGCAGCATTTTACATTGGCTGAATCGCAAAAATTTGCGTTCGAAAAATTATAATCTTGCTCAAATTCAATCATAGAAGCTTCGTTGAGCTCCGAAAGTATAAAAATTGAGTCCGGAACGTCAAAAAACGTGTCTGGGGACCCCAAAAACGTCCGATTTGGACAGTCCGAGCTGAAAATCGGGCCCGAATATGCGTAGACGGCCAAACCGGCCGGCCGCCACCCGCCGCCCCCGCCACCCGCGCAGCCAGCGACCAAGCGCTCGCCTTGGGGGGCACGGTTCTGATCCAGCGGTTATAAATTTTTTTGTCAGGCCCACTTGGCCATTTTTAATCCAAAAATTTCGAAAAAATAGAAGACTAGAAGCTTTAATAAG